ATATGGAGTAGCTTGAAATAGTAATTGTTGGATTCAGCAGGAAGTTTAAGATTCAGTGGACGCGGAGCACACGGCGGACGTGAAGAGGGGCGTTCACGTAAGTATTCACGAGGTGAGAGTGGGAATGGATCGTCGCAAATGCGCGCGATCAGCTGCCTCCGGTTTCTGATCGATGTTCAGTAAGAGGAAGGCTTACACCATCTCCGATGCAGAGCAAATCGTCCCAGCGACCACCGCGTCAACAAGCCCATCTTGCCATGTCTTGCTTGAGGATTTCTTTCAAACCTTTTCTTCGCGTATCTCATCGGCTATCAATCACAGGTCTCTCTATCTCTCTCTATTACTCTCATTTTTGTTATATGTATGTATATTCATAAAATTGTCCTACTTAAGGAGTAAGTGTGTAGACAGAAAGAGGATTGTTTACTTGAAATGTGTTTGAGTTTGGTAAAATTTTCAATTAAAGCATAAGCATCTATAAACAAAGAAATCATGTTTTTCGTATTATTTCTTTTAATATCTGTTATTAATGACGGCCGACCTGAGTAAGCAAACTGTACAGATTGGGGCCTCTATAATAAATGCAAAGGGGAAAAAAAAAGCAAAAAGAAAAGGAAAAAGAAAAATCACAAGTAAAATTAGTATGACACCATTTTTATTTTATATACATATGAAAATTATTATTATAAAAGCTCAAAAGATAAATTAGATTTCTTGTTTTATTGTTTACAAATCCATGTGTCTATAGAAAAAATCTTCAAACAAAATCTAAGCTTAATACCAAAAATTAGTGAATCGTTGCAAACATCACTTAATCATTACTAAATACTAGGCTGTGGTTTGGTTGTGGGATTTAGGAAAGAGAAAACTGTTGTCGTGAAATTAGTTGGAATATAGTATATTTTATTACACATTACCTATTTTTCATTTCAGCTTTCCAAATTCTTCCCTCAAATTCCTCAATCAAACACAGTCTAAGGGAATTACTTTTTTCTCGATATTATTGATATTATATCCAGTTTTGATTTTAGACAACTTAATTTAAATAAAAGTTCAAATCTTCTATATTTTAATGTTTATTTTCATTCTGAGTATAGTGGAAATAACAACATTAAATTATGATGCTTTAATTTTTTTTCCAAAGACTTCGTCCACTTTAAATTTTGGTAGGACCCAAATGGTTTTCAAAGGAGTAATGTATGTATTTAAGAAAATCTATTTATCACCACATCAACTTCGGAAATTTTCAATACTTCCTGGAGTATTGCTAAGGTGGTGCTCTTAGTGTATATTTTGGTCTAAACTATTGGACCCATCTTTTATGTTGAGTTATAAGAGACAACTTATGATGTGTTTAACATGTAATTGGAAAGAGCAATGCTCCAAGAGTATTGAATAATTCCTCACTTGTTATGTATATGTGAGACCTGTCATATTTAAAAATTTGTAAAACCCTTATGGAGAAGCATGTATGAAGTGAAAAAGTTTTTGAAAAAATAGGCTCTTGATAATTTTTCTAATTACTAATTAAGCTTGCATAATTAAGTTTAATTGACCATATCCTTTTTAATGGAGATAACATATGTCAATATATTGATCTTTGATTTTAGTCCATCCAATTGCTTACTAAAAGTAAATGAAAGGATCTTTTAATTTTGGGACTTAAATTGGGGCTTTTTAGTATAGAGTGTTGGATCAAGTGCGGAGGACCCTATTTTTTAGACAAAATTTGGGCTCCAAAGCGGCTGCTTTGCCAACGTATGTCAGGGCAGCCCAATGTCCATTCTAATTGAGAGTGCCATTGAATAATTCTAGCAGAGACAAGTTTCATTTGCCCTTGACCAGTTATGATTTTCAGGTACACCATGATATGACTGCCTCCATTGCAACATTATTTATATATACAGGTCACAATTCCTACCTAACAGGGAACCAAATTGAGCAGTGTGCTAGCGATACTTACCCATAAAGGCTCTGCAAATGGTGTGGAGGTAATAGAGAACTAGTTTATGGCCATCTGAAAGATGACATTCAGTTTCTTCTGGAAGGTATGGACTCATTCAGGATTGTCTGTCCTTTTTTGAGTTGATCACGTAATGTAAGATTTCTGAATGAACTGTATATTAATTGTGTAAAAAAAAAAAACAAAGGATAAATCTGATATATAGTACTCCTAACCTAAGACCAAAAAGGAAACGAAATATATCTCATGCATACTACATTCATTCTATATAATTTACTACTATTCACACTCACGTCAAACTCAGGGTTTAGGGAAAACACTGAGAATTTGTCAGAAGAATTGAAACCAAGAGTGGTGTGAGTCTTGGTAAAGAAGTCAGCCTGTTGACGAGCCCGAAGAGCGAAAGGAAGCGAGATAGAGCCTGAATGCTGAATGAAAGTGACAATCAATCTCACATGTGCTTGGTCCGTTATGAAATCAGTTATGTGTAATTTGAATAACATACCGCAATAGAAGGAGGTCAGAGAAGGCTAAGGTGCCCAAGTTAGAGAGAAGACATGAGCCAAACAACTTCAACAGTAGCATGAGCCATACTACGTATGTTTCGGCAGTTAGAGCGAGCCCAACAGTTTGTTTCTTGCTTGTCAAGATCAAGGAATCACTAAAAAACATAAAGAACCAGACGTGGACTTGCGATCAGTAACAATCACTAGTGCAATCAGAATATCGGTAGCCACCAAATCAAAGAGGAAAGTGAGAACTATGTAAACCTTGAGTAGTATCCGGAGATAGCGAAGAATCCGAACCAAGGTAGGCCAATGTGTGGAGCAACGAGCAGACAAGACTGGCTAACTACATGAAAAGTAGCCAGATCAAGACGGATAACGTTATGATACGCAACCACCGAGCTCTCGTATTATGTAGGATCATCCAGAAAAACACCATCAGTAGTGTTTAGCTTTTACATTAAAACTAATAGGGTATCCGAATTAGTGCAGTAAAAGGCACAATGAATAAACCTGGTGTCAACTTGCCTAAAGAAAGTAGCCATTGGAAGAAGAAGTTATCTCAATACTAAGACCGCAATGGCCAATCTTTCATTTTCAAAGATGTAAAAATTGCTGCATGACTCGAAATATAAAGCAAGAGTCAGAACCAGTGGTGATCATTTATCAATACAGTTATTAACGAACATATACAGAAGGTGTGGAGAAGAAATAAAGCAGAGTCCTGGGTCAAGAATGAAACCCAACTATTTCAGTCTGAAAGCGATCATACCAAGCACGAGAGACTGCTTCAGAACTATAGGAGATGTTGACGCGACAACCTGTCCAAAGATGTGAAGGCAGGGAGGATGCTGTAAACCTCCTTAGTGAGATGGCATTAAGAAAAGAGCTTCTTATCCATCTGATAAAGAGGCAGAACGAAGCAACGCAGAGATCAAAGTATGGACATAGTTATCTTGACACAGGAGCAAACTCTCTATATCATACTGCTGTGAAACTTTGGACCAGACGAGTTTTGTAGCGCTCAAGAACATCATCAAAATGACTTTGATTTGTAAACCCATTTGCAACCAACACGTTCTTACAAAAAGAGATAACTTCCATAGTACTGTTTTTGTAGTAGAAAACTCCTCTATAGTTGAAGATCGATAGGATCTGATGGGCTCTTTGTAATGATGGTTCTTAAAACTAGGTGATGCACAAAAGTACGATAGGAGCAGGAAGAAATGTTAGGAGTGAGTAGTAGGAATTTGGGTTGGGTTAATACATGGAGTAGGGCCTGGCCGTTTAAAGAGAAAGCAGCATAGATGGCTTTCCAAATGAAACTGAATGAGGCAGAGAAGAAGAAGCAGACCTAGCTGTCTCAGGAGAATTGCGTGTTATCGCTCGGTTGACCATTTGAGTTATCTGATAGGAGTTTTGGGTGAATAGTACAATTGGACAAATACTACGACTCTTTTAATTATTTCCCCAGTAGACGTAACACCTTAGTTTAACCAATTGGCTGTATATGACTAAAGTACATATATGGGAGTGAATTCGAACTTATGTATAGATAACCCCGCTTAACGGGTTGTTATATTAAACTCAACCCCCCCCCCTCTCTCCTTCTCTCTCTCTCTCTAATCGCGTGTGTATATATATATCGATGGATCTTCTCAAACCGATTCGACACGATCAAACAGAATTTTAAAAATAATTTATTTATTTATTTATAATTTTTTGTTTTAATTGTTAAAAGAACAATGGATACGTGGAATGGTTGTTCTGAAAACGGGAACGCTTGTATTTTTGTAGTGTTTTTTTTTTCCGAGAAAACAAAGGAAAGTGAGAAAATTTTGTTACGAGGAAAGAAAAGGATGGGGGTGGCTTTTACTTTTGAGCTGTGTTATGTCCCAAAAAATATCAGTCGCCTGCACTGCACGGGACATGAAAGCTTTTTGGATAGAGAGAGATCTTTGGATGTATAAGGTCCTTCAGGACATTGGCACTAAGGCCTCGTTTGGAGTCCTGTTTTTTTAGTTAAAAAGTAAAAAAATTATTAAATTAGTTAAAAACTCAACAATTTATATTAAAAAATTAAAAATTTTCTTTTCTCTCTACTTTTTGCAGATTTTTTCGTAAAAAATCAAAAAGTCATCCATCAAAGATTCTCTTTTCTCCCTACTTTTTGCATATCTTTTTGTAAAAAGTCAAAAAATATCCCAAATATATTGATTTTTTTTAGTTTATATTTTATCCAAATAGCCAAAAAGTTACTAAATTAACATATTCTCAAACGAGGCCTAAGTTGAATGTGATTAGTAATTAAACCCTTTAATATTTTGATTATTATTATTTTTTAACTAATTTTAGGGGTTGTTTGGGGTGTTTTAAATAAGTATACTTTTTTATTTTTTAAACTAAAAAGTTGAGAAAAAAAAAGATGGTTGTTTGGAGTAATTTTTTGATTTTTTTTTGAAAAAATATGTATTAAAAAATTGTATAAATTAGTGTATAGGAGAAGATTTGATGACGGTTGGATGAATTCAGGGACAGTGTCGGCAAAGTAGTGGCTGGGGGAGATGATTCCCTACTTTTTGGGCATTGAATTGGAGGTGTTGTTCGGCTCGTGGAGGCCCACCACGGGTCCCGTTTTGCTAATCAAAACCATTCAATGTGTAGAACTCGTCGAGTACTAACTTCTTGTAAAAAAAACATATTAATTAGATATCGATAGCTATCTGATCGAATAAGTTTGTTTTTAATCGTTAACTATAATACCATCAATTTCATAAATTTTAACTGATTTGATCATATAGTTACTGATATCTGATCAACATGATTTTTTATACGTAAGTAGTACTCGACAAGTTCTACACATTGCACGGTTCAGATTATTAAAACGGAACCTGTGATAATCCCCACAGGCCGAACAACACCGAGTTATTTGTGCACCTAAATAAGTGTAATTTTTCAATAAGTCAGCTATGCCTATCCCACATCAGAGTTGTTTGAAAATTAATTTTGTGTAAAATTATTTTTTTAATATTTTTTTGGTGAATAGTGATAATTTTTTAACTTTTCAAATAATTTTTTTTTTTTTTGAGATCTCAAACCAGGCCTTAATATTTCAATTAGATTCACATTAGTGACCAAAAAAAAATAAAAATAGATATACATTTTTTAGTTCATATTTGTAGTTGTTAATGTTGTGGGTGAACTGAAGTTTACTTTAAAATAAAATATGGATAGATTTACATTCTTTAAGCCCTAATTTTATGAGTTTCTTATGGCTTGTTTGGTTAATGTTTGAACAAGTTTAGAAATTATAATTTATATTAGAATTGAAAGTTTCTTATGGCTTGTTTGGTTAATATTTGAACAAGTTTAGAAATTATAATTTATATTAGAATTGAATTTGAAATGATCATATAAGCCTAATATTTAAGTCGAACAAATTTAAACAAATACAAAGTTACTTATCAAATAGTGTTAGCTGAATTCAAACTCGCCCTAACTCGGTGAATGACGAACCACACTTAGGTGATGATGAGGGAATAATAAGAGACATGGCAAATGGTAGCGTTTGATAAAGTTTACAATTTTGGTATATATTTAAAAAAAATTATAAATTAGTTTTTGTTTATTTTTAGAAAAATATAAACTACAAATGTGTTTAGTTTGAATAAAATGTTTGAAAAATTTTAAAAACATAAATTAAAAAATATGTTTGTTCAGGCCTAAAATATTTATATTATTTTTTATTATTTATGATAATGGGATCATACACATTATAATTGAAAAAAAATTAATTAGAAAAAAATTAATTGAAAAAAAAAATTGTTAATAAAAAAAAAATAATTAAAAAAAATAATTGAAAAAAAAATAATTGAAAAAAAAATATTTAAAAAAAATATTTGAAAAAATAATTATTTGAAAAAAATAATTGAAAACTGAAAACGAAAACTCATTTTTTGAATTTACATTTTTTCTCAAATTTATAAACTGAGATAACCATTTATAAACAAAAAAAAATTATCAAACAAGTTTTTATGACAGTTTTTAAAATTTTTATAAATATAAACTAAAAACGGAATGGTTACCAAACAGACCCTATTGATTACCAAATAAGTTCGGTTTATGAACAACAACGTGGTGCCCTAGGATGCATAATAATTTTGCCTTTCGATCAGAATCAACACCATCTCCTTCGCTCCTATTGGCTGATGCTCCTTTACTTTCCCGCCATTTGGCAATTTTCGTGGTTCTTTCTTTGGAACCAAATTCTGTCCAGCTCACTAGGTATATTCTGTTCAATTATTTGAGCAGTTTATTTTTGGGATTGGCTTTGTCTCCAGTCCTCCATTCGAATAGACCGTCCAATCCGATCTAATGAGTTGATTTTTGAGTTTTACTTTAATAATTTAAACTGTTCACATTCTATAATTTATTGAGCACATTATTTTTATAAGAACTTAAATTGATCAAATAATAGAAATCACGTATTCAGATTAATTTTATATGAATCGTTTATTTTCTTACCATTCAAAAAATTGATCCAAACACGTGATTACTGTTGTCCGATCGATTTAATTTTTTATAGGAATAATATACTCAACTAGAGGCAGAACGAAGAATTTTGTCCAGGAGAGACCAACGTACATGCATTAAAACACATAGAATTAATTTTGGTATATTACTAATTAAATATAATTTTCTAATTTCGGTATATTACTAATTAAATATAATTTTGAAAAAATTGATCTAAGGTCCCTCTCCAACTTTTGATAGGAGGAGAGGTACATAATAATATGTTTTGATGGCTAAAGTCCCTCAACTTTATTTTATGTTATAAAATACCTAAGTTACCCTTGTTTGGATTTTGGAATATTCTATTGCTTAGTTCAAAAAAAAAAAAAAAAAAAAGACAAGTATATTCAGTTGCTGATTTTACGTTGGAGATTTTGGAAACTGGTTTCGCGGTGGAGATTTTGTCGGAGATTTCGTAAGGATTTCTCAAATGTTGCAGTGGACTTGACGATAGATACTTCGACGATCGTATAGGTGTTACAATGTGTTGATCGCGTAGGTTTTTCAGTGGAGTTGAATCATGTATGGTTTCGATACAGATTCCACTTGAATTTTGATTTTTGTTTTGAATTTTATGTAAGGATTCCGATTTGATATTAGTTGTTCGAGTGTATTTTTGCATTAGGTTTTTGTTTTCAGTTTTGATCAATTCGTAATTAAGTTCTGATTTGATTTTGTTTTCAGTTTTGATCAATTCGTAATTAAAGAGAGGCTAGCTGAATGAAGTTGTTTATGATTTTTGGAGTTGATTTTTCATTTTCTGTTATTGATCAATTTTACACAGAGGCCATATTGATAGAGTTGATTTTTATTTTTTGGAATTAATTTGATTCTCTGTTTTTTGATCAATTTCAAAGAGTGTTGACAGTGTAGTTGATTTTGATGTTTAAAGTTCATTTTCTGTGCTCTGTTTTTCATCAACATGCTGATCAATGATAAGTTTTGTTCTCTATTTTTTCAAACCAGAGAAATTTGTTTAAACCAGAGAAATTTCATTCTCTGCACTTTTGTTGGAATAGTCCAGAGAAAATTGTAAGTTTGTTATTATAATCCAAAGTTTCTAATGCAGATTGAATCTGAGAAAGTGAATGTAAGTTCTTAAATTTCTCTGGATTTTTATTTGTAGTTGAGAGAAAATTATAAGTTTGTTATTCACTTTCAGTTTGTAATTCAGAGAAAATTATAAGTTTGTATAAAATGAATATATTTTTTTGTTTCTCTGAGCAAAAGTTCTTAAATTTCTCTGGACTTTTATGTTATTCTTGTGAAGTGTTTTTATGTTGAACAAATTATTTTTCTTATTTTTTCTTTCAGTTTCGATGGACAGTGCAGTGTTGTTGCTATGCAAATATGGGATTGATACTATTGTCATTAATATTTCATGTGAATTGAATTTTAATGAATTGGTTGGCATTTTGTGTAAAACATGAGAGAATTTGAAACCTTAGACTATATGTATTTCATATTCTATTGTGGGCCATAAGAATTGTATGGTTCGAAATAATATTAATTTTCTGAATATGTTGAGGGTTGTTTGTGCACGTGGTGTTGATATAGTTGCTGTTTCAGTTAATAGGTGTAGTACTTCTGATGAAGATGATGAAGTGCGGTCTAATTGGGTAGATGTTGTGAATGGTGAATGTGATAGGCTGGTGGATATTGAAAGGAATTCACTCTCTAAGTTTTGTTCTCACAAAGAAAAGGTGTTATTATCAGCTGGTTGGTGAAATAATATTACGAGTATTGGACAAAAGTTTGAGGGTGGTGTGGTTGAGTTCCGTAATTTTTTATGCAAGTATGCTATTGAGGTTGGTTTTCAGTTTACGTATGTTAAAAATGACAAGCTGAGGGTTACAGCAGAATGTGTATATAAGGAATCAAGGGGATGTATGTGGCGTGTACATGCTTCAGTTGAAAAAACAAATGGGTTCTTCTACATAAGGACTTTGAACAATGAACATACGTGTGGTGTGGAGGTTCGTACGAGTAAACATGCTAGGATGACTTCCAGCTTAGTTTCTGGGCTAATACTTGAAGAGGAAAGTGCAAAACCTTTAACTCGTCTAGTGGATGTTGTCAAAGAAATGAAAGACAAGTATGAGGTCTCAATCAGTTATAGCTGTGGTTGGTTGGGGGTTGAAAAAGCAAAATGTAGTACACATGGGGATTCTTGTTTGTCATTCTATCAATTACGGTAGTATTTTGATGAGGCATTGAAGAACAATCCAGGTAGTCGTTTTGAGTTAGATTTTGAAGATAACAAGCGTTTCAAAAGAGTGTTTGTGGCTTTTCATGCATGCATTGCTGGTTT